CCCCCAAGATCCCATTTTTTGCCCGGCAATCTTGTCTACTTCCCATAATCAGGAGGATAGCTATATGTTTTTCTTTGGGATCACCTTCTTATTTAGCTTCTTTAGGAGATCAAATTATAGACTCACTGACCTTTATTTATCTCTAGAAACCAATTATGAGTGAGTACATCCCATGTTCATCTTTTTGGGTCTGGGTTACCTCACTCAGCTCTAAGGTCATTTTTTTTTTTTAAAAACATAGGTTGAAAGTCAACTGATCCTCAGCTCTAATAGGATGATCCATGTGTCTGTTTCTGAGCCAGCACAAAGCTTGGAGGTTTGACATTAGAGTCCTCCCCCCTAGGTTCGTGCACTGTTAGACATCTTGCAGTAATACAGTCTGTGGTGGAGAATGTGCTGTTTGACTTGGCTTGTGCTGAGGCTCTTGGCTTCTTGATGGGACCCATGTCTAGCTTATGCTCTCTTGATATCAGGGCATCATTTGCAGTCAGTCTTAACTCTAGACAGAGGCTAGTTCTCCTCTTGAATCCCTGCTCTGTCATCTATCATTTCTCTCTCCACTCTGACCTCCATCAGTTCTTTGACACTATGACTTACTAACTCATCATGATTCAGAGCATCACTGGTAGGTTCTTCCTGGCTCTGTCTTGTAGACTTTCTAATACATTTCTTTCATTGTTAGCAGTCTCTGTAAACTTGGTAATACTCGGGCTTACTTAGGAGATGGACCTTGGGGTGGGCATGCCTTGGGGTGGGTGTAGTGATGACACTGAGCAATGTGGAAAGGCCTGCGATTTTGGCATCACTGTTCTCTAGGCTTAGAGAGTCCGGGCTGTCTAAGTGTAGAGTGGGGCTGGGCACCAGCATATGTGCATTGGCTTATTATGTTCTGCTCTGGGGTCGTTGTACTATGACTATCTGCTTCAAGTTCCTGCCACTTTGACCTGGTGGATGATAGCTTGGATTGGTGATAGTCCCTCCCCCTCTAAGTTGCTTGTGTCTGCCTGTTTTATCACAGCAATGGGAAACAAACCGAGACACCTAACAGGCATTCCCTGTGTTCTGGGAATGGTTTAGGTTCAGATAAAAGAATGTTTCAGAGGTGTTCACATCTTCCACTTCAGTTCTTATGATTTTTTTCAGCAGTGTTTTCCCTGTTCCCTCTCTTTTTCAGGAGTGTGGTTAGACTGTCACGTGACTGGGTGGGCAGATACTCCATGCTTCTACCATGGATACAGGCCTCAGTGTGGCAGTCTTGATGAATTCCAGAGACATCTTCTGGAACCACAGCATCTGCATGGAACAGCAGCTGACTTTTCAAACTGTATCCTTGGAAACTTGGCCCCGATCCAGTTACCACCTAGCAACAAAGATGACAAAGCACTGCCCTTGATTAGATTTTAATTAAAGATGTATACCACCACAGCCAACTACTCTCTTTTTAGTTTAAGGACTTCATCCTTTTTTCTTTTCTCTTCCAAGCCTACATATATTTTAAAACACACTGTAAATTGTTAAGAGGCTTTTTCTTCTGAGACTATCTTTACTGTATCCCTCTTTTTCTGACTACATGAGTCTTTAATTTGCTAAGCAATATGGCTAGGATTAAAGCCATGGCTTTGACGGCTGGATCCAGCCCATTCCTTAGCTTTCTGAGAGTCTAGACTCATGGCGGAGGTACTGGCCAGAGCCATGTTTATTGCCACAACTCTATGAAGAGTGTTAAGGTCTATGCCGCCACCAAGAAGCATGCTGTCAACTATTCATAAAAATCATCTAAGTGTCTGGAATGGTAGGAGAGACAAGATAGGGGTCTTAGAGAACAAGTGAGTGGGCTTGAGAATATCTTTAATAAGAAGGAAGGTACTATATGTTTGTTTTAAAGATAA